TAATATCTAAAAGGTTTATAGAATATATTAATCATAAACCAAATAGGATATCTGAAAGAATGATAACTGGTATTCATGGTAACAAAAGATTAAGTAAAGGAATAGTAGATGATATACCTATTCATTTGGGAGATATAGTTGTTTCTGCTGATATGAAAGTAATTGATACTGACACCTATAATTTGGTTCTTGGCAATGACTGGCTGCATAAAGCAAAAGCTATCATTGACTTTAATCATTCTAAAATTACTGTTAGTGATAGTAATAGAATAGCTAAAATTCCTTGTCACAACACTACTCAAATAAATATTAGAAATGAAAATGATATCAATAATGATAATAACAATTATGATAATAACAATGATAATGAGGATGATGATAATAAGGATGATGATGATGAGGAGGATGATGATGAAATAAATGAGGATGAAGATTTTATTGCAAGTTATAGTTTGGTTGTTTTAAAAGATGAAAGTCCTAACCAACATTTTTATCGAATAAGTCTAACTGAAATAGAAATTGATAATGGATCTTACTCTTGGAAAGAGTATAAACACTTTGAATATCAATTTCATCCTTTATATACTAGTCAACAGGATTAATCCAAATATACAAATTGGTTCTCTGGACCAAACAGAGAATGTTGGTATAGAAAAATACTCTTGAATTCTACTGACATTTGTGAACAATGTCATAATCAATACAAACATTGAGAGACTTTACAAATAATTCCTCTTAAAGAAATTCAAAGAGCCTAGTCATTTTTGGTACAAGGTGGTTCTAAGGAGTTAAAAAATAATGAAAATAAAGAGCATATTGAACGGATTATAACTAAATTTCCTCAAATTGTTGCAAAGGATATTGATATTGATCAGTTAGGAAAAACTGAAATAGTTAAACATAAAATTAATACTGAAAATGCCTCTCCTATCAAACAACATCCTTATAGAATGTCTTCTAAACACGAAAAATTTATCAAAGAAGAGTTGAACAGATTACTTCAACAGAGGCTTATTAAAGTTTCTTATAGTTCTTGGACCCCTCCTGCATTAGTTGTTAGCAAAGCTAATAGAAAGTTTAGACTTGTAATTGATTACTGTCAATTGAATAAAGTAACTAAACCTGATGCATACCCTCTACCTCGTATTGCTAATATGATTGATGCCTTGGCTCATAGTCAATACTTTTCAACTCTCAATCTCATCTTTGGATTCTGGCAAATAGAAATGGAACCTATTGACTAAGAGAAAACTGCCTTTAGTACCAAGTTTAGTACATATAAGTTTACAGTAATGCCGTTTGGATTGATGAATGTACCTGCAACCTTTCAACGTTTGATGGATAAAGTGTTTTATGATGTATCTTGGAAGTTTGTTCTTGTTTATATGGATGATATAATCATTTATTCAAAATCACATAAAGATCATTGCTCTCATTTAGAAAAGGTTTTTGAACTTCTTACCAAAGCAGAATTAAAACTAAATCCTGAAAAATGTGATTTCTTTAAGAAACAAATCTTATTTCTTGGACATTTGATATCAGATAAAGGGATTGAACCAAATCCAGTTCTAGTTCAAAAGATTAGACTAAGCAAAATTCCTAACTCTCAAAAGGAAGTTCACTCTTTTCTTAGTCTTGCCTCATATTATTATCACTTTATTCATAATTTTTCACATATTGCAAGGCCTTTTTTTAATTTAACTAAATTAGATGTTGACTTTTGCTAAACAGAGGAATATCAAAATGCTTTTGAATTTCTTCCAAATTGTCTTACCTCTAAACCTATTGTTATATACTCAGATTTTACAAAACCTTTTATTCTTCACACTGATGCTTCTGATTTTGCTTTTGGAGCTGTTTTAGCTCAAAAGGATTCTGAAAATAAGGAACATGTTATTGCTTATACTAGTCATGTTTTAACTTCTGCTGAACAAAATTATACTGTCACTGAAAAGAAATGTCTTGCTATCATTTGGGCTACCAAATATTTTCATCATTTTCTACAAGGACAACCCTTTTGTATTGTAACTGACTATGAAGCTATTCCTTGGTTAAAACATCATAAATCTTCTAAAAGATATCTTGCAAGGTAGATTATTCAACTCTTTGAGTATGAACCTTATGATATTATAAAGAGAAAAGGAAGAGATCATACAAATGCTGATGCACTTTCTAGACTTGAATCTATTCATTCTATTAATCAATAACTCCCAAATATCTTATTTTATAAAAACTCTAAATCAATCAAAATCTTTTATCTTATCTTTCTTCTCATAAATTTCTACCTAGACCTGTAGGTCTACAGCATAGTGGTTACACTCCTGGGTCACAATCACAAGGTTGTCAGTTCAAATCCTATCGGGGGGATTGACTGAATTAGAATCATGATTGAAGATTTAAGATCTTTCAAGGACCTTTCTGTTTTAAGAACAAAAGATATGAACAGGAAGTGTGGCTTAACTACAGATATCACACCACTAGACAAGGAGAGATCTGCTAGAAAAGGCACAAAAATTAGAATTCTGCATAAAGAATATAACTGAAATTAGATATTGATAAAAGTAATACTTCATCTGTAAGTCATGTGAGTTGGGGAATTGAAGACTGTTAGAGGTTATACACCGCAGGATTAGAAATCCAGGATATAATGTAATATTATAGACTTAAGTCACATGTAAGAACCTTACAAATTGTAGTAAAATAAAAGAGTGCCACATGCGCCTCTAGATGTCTGCATCAGGGATAGTTAAAAAAAAAAATTTCTATCTAAATTTATAATACAACAAAAGCAAATACTATCACGGCAAGCAGCAAATTAGTTAGCAAACAATAACATTTTATATAAAAAGAATAAAAAGCATCCTGACAATTTTTACCAAGTTATAACTCTTCTGAAAAGAGATTATCTTTTATTTAATTTACATTCTTCATCTCTTGAAGGACATTTTGAAACTAAAAGAACTATTGAACAAGCAATTTAAAAATATTATTAGCCTAATATAGGTAGAGACATTAAAAACTATATTGAAACTTGTGATGCATGTCAAAAAGCCTCTGGAAAACTAGGAAGATTTTAAACAACTAAACTAATCATCCCTTTAATCAAATTGGAATAGATTTTGTAGGACCTCTTGAAGTAACTAATGAAGAGAATAGATAGATAATAGTAGCTACAAACTATTTTACAAAGTGGCCTGAAGCAAAAGCAGTCCCAAATGCTACTGCAAAGGAAACAGCTAAGTTCTTATATGAAGATATTATTTGTCGACATGGTGTTCTTAGTATAATCCAATCTAACAGAGGTTCATCTTTTCTAAACTATACAATAGAACTATTAAAAGAAGAAGTAGAGTTTAGACATCATTTATCAGCTCCTTACCATCCCTAAATAATAGTTTAGTAGAAAGGTTTAATGGTACTCTTTGTAGAATGATTAAAAAATTTGTTAGTAATGAATATGAATGGGACCAGTTTATTCCTTCTATTCTCATAGCATATAGAACTCAGAAGCAAGAATCTACAAAATATACTCCCTTTTTCCTAATGCATAGAAGAGAAGCTCAACTTTCTATTGACTTAGAATTTTCAATACCACAACCAGAAAAACTTTATAAACAAGCTCTCGAAAGAAGAATAAGTACAATAATTAGAGTATTTAAAGATGCCTTAATTATTTCTGAAAGAAACTTAGATAATTCACAAGAACAAACAAAACAACAGCAAGAAAAACTTCAAAAACTTTACAAATTCGAAATAGGAGATATTGTTCTTGTCTATGACTCTTCTAAACAGAATGTTCATGGAGATAAGTTTACCAATCGATGGTTAGGTCCTATGTGGATATCTGGCAAAATAGGAAATGATATTTATAAAATAAGAGACCAATTTGGAAAGGAATACAACAGTATACATCATGTATCTAAAATTAGATATTATAAGCAAAGAAGTACAATTACACAAAACTAATCTGTTGATCGCTCAAATAAGCAAAGATCTAAATTATCATTGATCAGAAATTCTTTATAAAAGTAGACCAAATTTCACCCAGTTTATTCATAATCCAAACTTTTAAAAATGAATACTCCCCTCCAAAATACTCTTCTTGAAGTCCATAAATTATTATAACACATTATAATGATACTAATATTAAGTTTATGGAGGATAGAATTCAAGTTTTCTAACACGATATTTTACAAAATGAAATTATTATTTCTTCTGATAACAATTTAAAGTTTAAACCTTTTTTTTTAGATATCGATGAAGCATCTATTAGTCTTGACTATGACTATTATATTGAAGATGATAAAAATACTTATATTCAATTCCTAGCTGACCCTAATAATTCTAATGGAAAGAAATTAATATCTTATTCAAAATTAGGACAACGAATTAAAGACCTAAACAATAATTCTAAAAGAAATACTCAAAGGACTATAGAAAATAAAATTTAAAGAAATAGCCAAAGAACTCTTCGAATTGCTTCTCGAACCTATGAATTGTTTCAGATAATTGGAGACTTTCCTATTCATGAATTTAAGAAAATTACTCTCAAATGATTGTTCTCTTTAACAAATAATGAATTTAATAAATTTCTTGAACTTTGTAAGAGAGGAAGTGAATCTTTTTGTTTCGCTAGAGCTCAAAATTAAAGGAGAGAGTGATTGTCACCCTCTAATTTTTATTAATCTATATTTTCTATCTATTTTCTATTATATAAAATCGTTTTTTTTACATATTTTATTATTATAGTTTATTTCTAAAATTAGTATATTA